GGTCTATGATGTCCTTCAGGTGGGCCAACACCAGTCTTTCAAAGCACTTCATAACTACAGGCGTCAGGGCCACAGGTCTGTAGTCGTTCAGTCCAGTAATGGGGGTTTTCTTGGGGACTGGAATGATGGTGGAGCATTTGAAGCAGGAGGGGACTTCACACAGCTCCAGTGACCTGTTGAAGATGGGGGCCAGCTGATCAGCACACACTTTCAAGCGGGGGCGGGGGGTCACACCATCTGGACCTGGTGCCTTTCTGGTCCTTTGTTTTTTAAATCAAATCAAATCAATTTTATTTGTATAGTGCCAAATCACAACAAAAGTCATCTCAGGACACTTTACAAAGTAAGGTCTAGACCTTACTGTTATCACAAAGAGGCCACGCACATCCTTTTCGCAGATCCTTAGAGGTGGGGGGCTGGAGGAAAGGATGGTTGATTGTCAGGGGAGCAACTGCTGGGTTATAGGTGGGGAGGGTGTGGGGGGAGTGTTGTTTATCAGACCTGCAGTAGAACGCATTCAGGTCGTCTGCTAGTTGACGCTCCTCCACGGGGGGGGGAGATGGTTTTCTATAGCCAGTGATGGTTTTCAGGCTCCCCCACACAGACGAGGGGCCGTTGGCTGAAACCTGAGCTTTCAGCTTTTCAGAATAGCTCCTCTTTGCTGCTCTGATCTCCCTTCTCAGTATGTTCCTGGCCTGGCTGTACAGAGTCCTGTCCCCACTTCTGTAATCCTCCTCTTTGGCACGACGAAGCTGCTTCAGTCTGGCTGTAAACCAGGGCTTGTTGTTGTTGTATGTGCAGAAGGACTTTTTGGGCACACATACATCCTCACAGAAGCTGATATAAGGTGTGACAGTGTCAGTGAGTTTGTCCAGGTCTGTAGCTGCAGTCTCAAATACACTCCAGTCTGTGCAGTCAAAGCAGGCCTGTAGCTCTGACTTAGCCTCCTCAGTCCAGCTCTTCACTGTTTTGACTACAGGCTTTGCAACTTTTAGTTTCTGCCTGTAGCTTGGAATAAGATGGACCATACAGTGATCAGAAAGTCTGAGGGCTGCGCGGGGGACAGAGTGATAGGCGTCTTTTATTGTTGTGTAGCAGTGGTCCAGTGTGACTTTGTCCCTGGTGGGACAGGTGACGTGCTGTCTGTATTTGGGCAGTTTGTGGGAGAGATTTGCTCTGTTAAAGTCCCCTAGAACAATGAGTGGAGAGTCGGGATGTTCTAGCTCCAGGCTGTTCTGCCAGGAGCTGTAGTGTGCTAGCGTTAGCCTGCGGTGTTATGTACACTCCCATTAGAATAAAACTGTTAAATTCACGAGGAGAATAAACAGGTTTGCAATTGATAACAAGAGTTTCTAGGTCTGCGTTACATGTCCTCTGTAGCACCATGACATCTGTGCACCAACCTTCATTTATGTAGAAGCAGATTCCATCTCCTCTCGTTTTCCCGGACAGCTCCCAGTAATCTGCTCTGTACACCTGGACACCCAGTACTTATATCGCGTTGTCCGCAGTCAAGTCGCTCAGCCAGGTCTCCATGAAGCACAAATCAGCAGAGTGTGCAAAGTCAGAGTTAGTCCTGTTGACGAGAAGAATTTCATCCATCGTGTTGACCAGGGAACGGATATTTGCCAGGTGGATAGACGGGAGTGGAGTCCGTATTCCCCTCCGTATTCCTCTGTCGTAGCCTCACCAAGGCGCCTGCACACTTTCCACGGCGATGTTCTTTCCAGGTCCCATATATTGTCGCTGCACCTCCGATCAGAATGTCCATACAGCATTCTTCGTAAACTTATAAAATGCCTTTATTTTTGCATAGAAGATACTTAGATTTTATAGTATATTTCTTGAACTGTGCCTAACTTGACCTCTCATCAGGTGAGACAGGCTCTGGGAAAACCACTCAGATCCCACAGTATCTCTATGAGAGTGGGATCGGACGACAGGGCATTATTGCCATCACCCAGCCCCGTCGTGTTGCTGCAATCTCACTAGCAGGAAGGGTGGCAGAGGAAAAGAGGACTCAGCTTGGAAAGCTGGTATGCACGGTAGACAGGCTTCCCACCTAACTTTTTAATTAACAGAATAATAATTATCATTATCATCACTATATGAATGAATTATGTTGTAATATACTATACTAATGTATCGAATACGTCTTTTTTGTTTAACTGCTATCCCTGTGATGGATATACAAGTTCATACAGGAGCATCAAGCTGAAGTCTTATTGGGCCATGTAGAGTTAAATCATCAAACCTCTTTTCAGGTTGGTTACACGGTGCGTTTTGAGGATGTCACCTCCTGGGAGACAAAGCTGAAGTTTGTGACAGATGGCATGCTTCTGCGTGAAGCTATCGGAGACCCGTTACTGTTGCGTTACACTGTGGTGATCCTGGATGAAGCTCATGAGCGCACCGTGCACACTGATGTGCTGTTTGGTGTGGTTAAGACGGCTCAACGCAGGCGCAGAGAACTTAATAAGATTCCCCTGAAGGTAGGAATACAGTTCTGGCTACCATGGCTTCAATAAGGTATTTTACTTCCATAATAAGCACTGGGTTAATCCCTTTGCTGCATTTTCCCCTGAGATAAAGAAGCATTCCTATGAGCTCATGTTCAGCTTTTGCTGTATTGATCTCTAAGCATTTCTGTTTTATTTTTCATTTATTTATTTTGGGGACTGCACAGGTCATAGTGATGTCAGCCACCATGGATGTGGATTTGTTCTCAGAGTACTTCAACAAATCACCTGTACTGTACCTGGAAGGGAGGCAACATCCTATTCAGATCTACTACACTAAGCAGCCCCAGTCAGACTACCTGCAGGCTGCACTCGTCTCTGTCTTCCAGATCCATCAGGTAGACTTGCCCTCAGTTGGAGAGAAGCATCTTGAGTTAATTGTTGTGCTGGGTCGGTGATGTTGTAGTTCTCCTAATGTATTCTTAATTAGAACTATATAAAAGGGACACTGACAAGTACAAATTTTCATGTTTATTTTCTCATATATAATCAGTTGGATTTCCAGTTTAAATCAAGGCCGAAAAGAATAGAATCCTTTTCATGTTATAAGGAGCACAAAGCTGGGGGTAAACAGTCTCCTGGGTACATGCTCATGTGCTGTGATGATTCCTTTTGACACTGAAAGAAAACACGCTGTTTTTGTTTGCATACAGGAGGCGCCTCCGTCCCATGACATCTTGGTCTTCATGACAGGTCAGGAGGAAATCGAGGCCCTGGCCAGGACGTGTCGAGACATCGCCAAGCATCTGCCTGACGGCTGTGGTCCCATGGTGGTTATCCCTTTGTATGCATCGCTGCCCCCAGCACAGCAGCTCAGGGTCTTCCAGCCAGCTCCCAAGGTACGAGCAGCAATAAACATGCAGGAGGGGAGTAGCGAAGCAAACGGATGTGTTTGTTAAAAAAAAAAAATTTCTCAACAAGATTTTTGTTTAAGATATGTTTGGCATTGTTTAAGTTTTACTGCTATTTTAAAGGCCACGTAATAGTGCCTTGATTACTTACACCTATGTTATGTTGTCTAATAATATTATTGTAATTTTTACCTTTGTCCAGGGGTCTAGGAAAGTTATCCTTTCAACGAACATTGCTGAGACATCTGTTACAATCTCTGGGATCAAATATGTCATAGACACGGGGATGGTGAAAGCCAAACGTTTCAATCCTGGTGAGATGATTCAATCTGCACACACACTTAATTAAACACAGCACTTTTTTTTTTTATCACAGTCCAGTATTTCTCTTGAAAGGTCCACAGTAGTGAGTGTGGAAAGTAACTAAGCACATTTACTCAAGTGTTATATTTAATTATAATTTTTAGGTACTTGTACTTTACTTAAATATTTCCATTTAATACCACTTTATACGTCACAATATCATAATATTGTGTTTTTACTTCACTGTATTTTTTATGGCTTTAGTTACTAGTTAATTTTCAGATTGAGATTTTATATAAAAGACATGCTAATCTTGTGAAATACAACATTTAGTTGAAGATTTAATCTGTAGTTTCAAACCTTTCTGACTTGTAGCCCAGTTAAAAAAAGTTGGGTCTCATGGTTCAGATTTAAATGAATGAACTCCTGAAAAGGGAATGCACATCTGTGCAAAGGAACATTGTTTTGTTTCTTCCTTTCTAATCCATTTTTATGACCCCTTAGATTTACACTGTGATCCTTTAAAGGGGGCCCACCCCTAGGTTGGAAAACATGAGACTAAACAATATTTACTATATAAAGTAGCTTAAGCTACTGTAGCTTCACCTTGACCAATTTGACCACTATTTGTGACTGTGTGTAAATTTTGCATTTTTGTCATTCAGTTCTTTTACTATCATATTATTGAACATGTGTCATGTGACAGACAGTGGTCTAGAGGTGCTAGCAGTGCAGCAAGTTTCGAAGGCCCAGGCATGGCAACGGGCAGGTCGGGCTGGCAGGGAGGACTCTGGCTCCTGCTATCGTCTCTACACTGAGCAAGAATTTGACAACTTCATCCCCATGACTGTGCCTGAGATCCAGAGGTAGCATGCTGTGTTTTAGTTTACACAGTCATTAAAGCTCACTACAGTATGTGCTTCCCCCACACGTTGATTTATGCAGGTCAGTGTGATTTAATGTTGTGTTTTTCTGTTATTTCTTTTCCTCTGTGTGTGTGTGTGTGCTCTGCAGGTGTAACTTAGCTGGGGTAATGCTGCAGCTTATGGCTCTAGGAATTCCAGACGTGATGAATTTTGATTTCATGTCCAAGCCTTCTCCAGGTAAGGTGCTTCTGGTCATGTGTCCTGTGCACCTCTGCTCCCCCAGGAGGGTTTGGTAGGTCTTAGTAACCTGCTGTTTATCCTAGAGGCCATTCGTTCTGCTGTGGAGCATTTAGAACTGCTGGGTGCTGTGGAGAAGAAAGAGGGGCAGGTTTTACTCACAGCTCTTGGAAAGAAGATGGCAAGCTTCCCTCTGGAGCCTAGATATGCCAGGGTAAACTATGCTTTACAAAAATAGATACTGTAGTAGATAGAAACAGGGGTTCTGCTCTGATCTTTTTGTAGGATGACATAAAGTGTCAGTGTAGTCCACATGGAGTACATGTATATGACCCAGACAGAATTGGTTCAACACTTCCTGCCTTGTCTGATCCGTCGCACAGACCATCCTGTTGTCCACGGACTTTTCCTGTTCTGAGGAGATTTTGAGCATCGTGTCTCTGCTGTCAGTGAACAGCGTGCTGTATAGCCCTCCAGCCCGGCGAGAAGAGGTGCTCGCAGCACGGAAGAAGTTCACCTCCAGCGAAGGAGACCACATGACACTCCTCAACATTTACAGAGCATTCAAGAAAGTCAGTGGTAATAAGGTGAGTTACTGTGGAGGAGTAGGGGAGGAAAGTGTATGTGACTAGTCAAAATACAGAAATCAAATTACTGTATGTTGCTTAATGACTTTATAATCTCATGTATGTCTCCTGTTAAAGGACTGGTGTCGGGAGAACTTTATCAACAGCAGGAACATGGTTCTGGTCAAAGAGGTCCAGGCACAACTCAAAGAAATCTGCCTTAAGGTACACATCTGTACACCTCCAACCACTGGTGCACTATGTGAATTGGAATGTTCTGTTTATTATACACCACTGCACAAGATTCTTTATCCCTGGGTATTTGTTTTCTAAAACAGGAAGTCGTGGTAAAATTGGCTTGATTTCAGATCACTTGCAACTGTCAAAATAAGTAATATTAGGACTATAAATTGATGTGATTAATAGTTCTTTGGTTTCTTTTATCTCATATTTGTGGGTTGTTTTCTGGTGTGGAGTTTTATTTACGATTGGAATAGAGTGCTGCATCTTAAACAACTCTGGTCAAGAAACTGAGGAGAGGAGTCCCTAGCTGGGCTCAAATCAGTAATGTTTTGTAAACATCTTAAAGGGAAGCTCCATTGACTCTATACATCAAAGTCTCTTTACAGGTGTTGGACAGTACTGCAGCCTATGTGGAAAAAAGTGGCTTAAAGCCTTTTTTAGCTACAGAAGGAGCTGACAAGTCTGATAATCAGTCATTCTTTATTTATATTGCCCCTTTCATACATGTTAATGCAATTCAGAGTGCTTTACAGTTAAAAAAAAAAAAGACAGACAATTACAGTATGTAAAAGCAAATATAAACAAATGTTTTAAAAGATCGATCAAAAAAGAAAGAAATAAAAACTGATTCAAATATATGTGATACAATGACAAGTAAAACATATAAGAAGGAATAATACCAAGTGATACAAATAATAATGCAGGGTAATTTATGATGATAAAAACTTCAGCTCAAGCACCAATTTATAAATGTAGATTTTAAGTTTGCATTTAAAAACATGAACACTTTCAGCTGTTCTCAGCTCCTTAGGCAAACTGTTCCAAAAGCTGGTTTTGACAAGCAAGAATGTGTGGAATAAAAAATCTGGTATCTCTGTTTCTGTTGTAGCAATTTTAATACATTTATTTATGTCCATCATGATTATCAGTGCTACAGGAGTGCTCTGCTAAATCAGTGGGTTACTCTTTTAGCCCCTGAGCCACAGGGGTGGTTTAGCTAACTAAGGGGTTAACCCTTTCACTAGACTCAGCTGCTGTTAAACAAAACTCTGAACTCTCCTTGGTTCTTGAGGAGCTGAAGCATTTATTGTCTAACAAACTGTGCATCAACATATTACATTCACATTTTACAGCTAACGTGCCTTTGTGCTCACCAGCAAGTCTACCTCAGCACAACCATACCGGCTCTCCCAACCAATAACCACACCCACACACTTGGACTTCTATCTTTGTGAGGACAGTCTCTGATATAATGCATTCCCTAGTCCCTTACCTTTACCATCAGAGCTAAATGCCTAACCACAACCCTAACACCTAACCCTATTTCTAACCTGAACCCTTAAACCAAGTTTTACCCCTCATTGCTTCAAATGCCCCCACCCTCTTGCCGGAGGTTCAGAAGTGTGAAATGCAGGACCTCCAGACTGAAAAACTCTTTCTTTCCCTCTGCCATCAGACTCCTAAACAGCTGAGGAGTTTATTACCAGGAAATATGTCATGTACTGATAACCTGTACTGTTTACATTCTCAGTTTGTACATGCATAATTGCACATTGACTGTTGACTGCTGCACATGC